AACCCGGCAACCCGCCGGGTCGGGTCCTTGTTCGGTTTTCCGACCCGTTTGTCTACCCAGGTCGGGTTAGGGTTGACCCGTTTGAACCCGGATCAGTTCTGGGTTCGACTCGAACCCGACCCGTGACCCGAAATTGACACCCCTAATAATTCATATCATGAACTTTCAAGATAATTCAGACTTTAAAATAAATGATTTTATATAAAAATTTTATTTAAGGATATACTAATCAAAATTGTATCATGATAAATAGTTAAATTATTGAATTTATTATTTAGATGAGTGTAATATAAAAGTCAATTAAATGTTCATATATATAATATTTATTTTAAAATAAATATGAGAATTTAAAATTTATCCAAATTAAAATTATTATTATTTTAGATATACACATTATGAAAAAATATTTCAATGATATCTTTTATGTTTGTAAAGACCACTTCCATCAAGCATAAATAATACCATTGTCAGCTACCGTATATTAATAAACTTCTTGATATTGGATTGGAACAAGTCTTGTACTCTTCTTGCTCTTCTTTGAAAATGTTAAAATAGCTAATTAAAATAATGTTCAGCATGGCCTCTGCCATGATCATTGGTGCAGGCCAAAAAGATTTGAACAATGATTGTTTATTATCATTTATTTTAAGTTAAAATTTTACTCATTTAAATATAACATTTTATTATAAAAATTTCTACTAAAATGCTTTAATGGGATGAAAAAAAGTCATTCTTTTTTAAATTCATAAATTTACTTTTATTTTCCCATAGATATAACATAAAAATATATTGTTTATTCCTTATTTTTTGTATAAATAAAAGATCTCTTATATGATATATACATTGCATAAATCCCATTGTTTATTTATATTTTTAATGTTATATTTATTTATGTATTTTATAATATTATAATTTTTAATATATAAATATATCATTAATATTAACTTAACTAAAATTAAATTTATTTTGAATTAATGCATATATTTTTATATAATTTAAATACATAATATTACAAAAAATAAAAACAATTTTTTTGTTGGGAAAATTATGGGAAAAGCTAGAAAAAAGAAATTATAAATGTGGTGCTATACAAAGGTTCTCATCCCAAAAATTTTAAAAAATTACAATAAAGCAAAAATAGATTAAAAAAATTGTTAAAAAATAAGATCCAAACCAACAACCCAAAAAATCCTATCATGGAAAAGCTAAAAAATAGCTAAAATAAAGATTATAAATTTAATTTCAAAAGAACAGAGCAATGGTAGGCCTTGGTTGCCAACACACCCAGGAAAAATTAATCTGTACGGACACTAGAAGATCGTAGACTAATCGGAATGCATCACGTCATTTTTTTGCTCGATACCAATGCTATGTTCTACTGTCTACCGGATGATGTGGCACGTTTTAATTGGTCTTATTTCCCATGGAAGAGGCGAGAATATGGAGTTTGAGGGATACATACATATAAGAGAATTCAGTAGTGTAGCCAGTTGTACTGCGTCAAAATATATTTTAAAGGCATTGACAAAAAAGCCCTTACTCATTAATTTATTAGTAGCGTAAATGCGATTACAAGAACGGACACGCCCAAACTAATAGACGCAAAAACCTGCGTAATTACTCAGGTATGACTTTTTTATTTTATTTAAAACATTTATTTTCTCATCTTTCTCGTCTCTCTCTGTGTAAACGGAAATGGATTGGGTGAAAGAAGGAAGACGAAGGCGAGGCGAAGATCCCGTTTTCTCTATACTTCTAGCTTCATTCCTTATCATAACAACGAGAATCGCTTCCGCGGCAGTTTCTTCTTCTGAATCTAGTTTCGTCTTCAATGGCTTCGAGGGAGCCGATCTCCGCCTCAACGGCGGTGGTGTGGTTGAACCTAATGGCCTACTACGGCTCACTAACTTCACAAAAAATGAGGTTGGCCACGCCTTTTATCCAGCCCCTTTCGTCTTCCTTAACTCATCCTCCGGCAGACCCCTCTCCTTCTCCACCTCCTTCGTCTTCGCCATTTTTCCCCAGTACGAGGACATCAGCTCCCATGGCATCGCCTTTGCCATAACACCTTCCACCAACCTCACCGCCGTCCTCCCAAGCCAGCACCTTGGCCTCTTCAACTTCACCAATAACGGCGATCCCAGCAACCACATCGTCGCCGTCGAGCTCGATACCATACAAAACAGGGAGTTTGATGACATCAACGACAATCACGTCGGCATCGATGTCAATGGCCTGACATCTAACTCCTCCGCCCCTGCATCCTTCTTTCTCGACTCCTCCGGTCTCCAATACGAAAATCTGAGCTTGATTAGCGGCGAACCGATGCGTGTTTGGGCAGATTATGATGGCAAGAGCATGGTGCTCAATGTCACCTTAGCTCCTCTGCTTAATCCAAAGCCAGAACGTCCTCTCTTGTCATCAAAACTCAACCTTTCCTCCATTGTTCTCGATAACATGTATGTCGGATTTGCGGCTTCGACCGGAGCAGCCGCCGGATCTCATTACATCTTGGGATGGAGCTTCAGCATGAACGGAGAAGCAAACGAGCTCGACCTCTCTAAACTTCCATCTCTTCCACCAAAAGAAACAGAGGACAATACCACCGTGAAAAAACCCGAAATTTGGATCATTCTGTTACCTATAGTCATCTTCATCTTTCTCCTCATCGCATCGTTTGGGATTGTGCATCTGGTTAAAACCAAGAAGAAGTTCTCAGAAGTGGTGGAGGATTGGGAAACAGAATACGGCCCTCATAGATTCTCGTACAGAGATCTTTACCGAGCCACCAATGGCTTCAGCGACGAGAACGTCTTAGGCAACGGAGGCTTCGGTGGAGTCTACAAAGGCGAGCTACCAAAATCCAAACTTGAGATAGCGGTGAAGAGAATCTCCCACGATTCGAGGCAGGGGATGAAGGAATTCGTTGCAGAGATTGCGAGCATCGGTAGGCTTCGACACCGAAACCTAGTGCAGCTCCTGGGCTACTGCCGCCGGCGAGGAGAGCTCCTCCTCGTGTATGACTACATGCCGAACAGCAGCCTCGAGAAATACATCTTCGACCGACCTCAGCAATCTCTTAACTGGAGCCAAAGGTTTAAAATTATCCGCGGCATCGCCGCTGGTCTTCTCTACCTTCACGAGGAATGGGAACAGGTTGTTATTCACAGAGACATCAAAGCAAGCAATGTCCTCCTCGACGCCGAGTTCAACGGAAAGCTCGGAGATTTCGGGCTCGCGCGGCTGCATGATCGCGGAAGCAATTTGCAGACGACAAGGGTGGTCGGAACTTTAGGTTATCTCGCGCCTGAGCTCTCCCGGACCGGAAAGTCGACAACTAGCTCCGACGTGTTCGGTTTCGGCGCGTTTCTACTTGAGGTTGCCTGCGGCAAGAGGCCGATTGAGCTGAAAACATCAGGGATTGATATGGTTCTTGTAGATTGGGTAATGGAGTTTTTGAAGAAAGGTGAAATTTTAGAAGCGAGGGATAGGAAGCTGGGGAGTGATTTTGCGGCGGAGGAACTGGAGTTGGTGTTGAGATTGGGTTTGATGTGCTCCCATCCGTCACCGGCGGCGAGGCCGACTATGAGGCAGGTGGTGCAGTACTTGGAAGGAGAAGCGACTCTTCCAGATATTTCGGAGGACGATTTTTATGTTTTTGATTCGAGTTCGAGGAGGAATAAGATTTTGGTGGATGAGACTTCGTGGAATTCCTGCACTGCGGCGACGAATCTTTCTTCTTCTTTTTCAGACTCTCCTTCATCTCGAAGAAACTGATAAGTTAATGATGCTTTGTTTGTATATATAAAAAAAATGTGGTTTTTTGGTTTCGTTAATCGGAATTCTGCTTGGGCTTAATTTCTTGCTGATAGATTTTCGTTCTTTTCTATGTTCTTCCATAGTTGCAGCAAACAATGCCTTTCTTGAGGGCTTCCTCAGTTGGATTTGGTGCGATTCTCACGTAACAGGTTAATTTAATACGGTAGGTTAGTGTAGGACTGTACATTGCAGGGACATATTATGCCGAATTTTCCAATTGCAAAGTTCGGGCCTTCTAAGTTTTCTTTCATATTAAACATGCAAAGAGAAGGCCATTTTATATATGTAGTCTTGTTTTAATGGCTTCAACTGCTACACAGGGTCAAGTTAGTTGAGGCAAATGATTAAGGATAGATTTTTTGGTGCGGGAGTTTAGTTTAGCACTTTCATTTTTTCCACATTTCCTCAACATTTGTTTGGTGTAGTAAATTGATGGATTTGTCAAGCAGCTCATCTTCGTCTATTTGTTGGAAGTTTTGACTATCAGTTAATAAGTTTTAAGTTTGAAGCTTACATATATGATGTGTGTGTGAGTTCGCTTTTAATTGGCCCAAATTTTTCAAAAAGAAAGGATTTGTCGATTCACAATGACATCTCCATCAGAGGAACTTGGCTCTCTTTCACCTTATTCTTGTTCGTGCTGTCTTTCAATGTATCATAAACATCTCCTTTATGTTCGAGTTTTTAAGAGACAGAATTGGATAGGGGTGTCAAAAATTGACACGACCCAAAACCCGATGTAGGTCTGACCCGAAAAAATATGGGTTTGGTTCAACCCGTCGGGTTAACTCGGAAACCCGCGGATCAACTCGAATTGATCCGTTTGTAATTCCGCGCTAGTGTGTGACCTATCTCGTCACTCGGTCGCGTCTCTCATGGTCATGTCAATCGTCGCTGCGTCTGGTCGCTCAGGGTAGCATCAGCGTTGTCGGCTTGCCGCCGTCTCGCTCGAGCTGCCGTTGCCAGCTTGTCGTCGTCCCGCCCGCGCTATTGCAGTGCTGCTACCACCATTGAAGCCAGCAGTAGCGCGAAGAGCCGAACATTGTCGCTGTCGTCCGCCCATGAGCTGCGGTTGTCGTTGTTGCCATCCCGCCTAAGATGCCATTGCCGACTTGCCTGGGAGCCGAAGACTGTCGTCGTCCCTCCCTCGTGGATCGGGGCAAGTCAACCAGTAACCCTCATGGGTCGGATCCGAGTTTACAATCCTGTCTCATTTGCAAAACTGTGTCGGGTTAGTGTCGACCCCGTTCAAGGCCGAGTCAAGTTGGATTCTACCCGAACATGATCCACTAAACCGAATTGACACCCCTAGAACTGGATGGTAGGGATACTCATGCAGGGTTCATTTATGTTGTTAATGTAGGATATTATCCTTTTCTTCATTAGGGAAAGAGTATTTATAAACATCTATTAAGATGAGCTCTTGCCATGATTCTTTGAGAAACCAAGCCATGTGAAAATTGTTAGCATAGGATAATTGTAATATTCATTTAAACACGTTATTAGGAATTCATGGGTTAACCTGTGTACAACCCGTGAGCACCATTATATATAGGCATGTATCCCTGCTATCTGAACACACATAGAAAATATTATTTTCTCTCTTCTTTAACTGTTTTTCATCTTCTTCATGGTATCAAGAGCCTCTTGATTCTGCGACCAGCGCCGATCAATGGCTAATTCTTCTTCTACCTCCATCTCGGCAGTCGGCGACACCATCGGAGCGGCATCTTCCACGCCCGGCGTCTCTCCGTCGCTCAAATTCGTAATATCGAATCTCAAACTTCTTGTTCCTCATTCACTAAAGCCGGACAACTTTCCGATTTGGAGTACCCAAATTGCAAAACTCTTCAAAGCAAATGGGTTTGCTCGTTTTCTTGAACCAAAATCATCCATCGAGAATGCCGATCCGAACCAAGATCTCAATTCTTGGTCGATTACGGATCAAAATCTCGCAACGGCGATGTGTTCCACGATCTCTCCCCCGGTTCTACCTTACGTGATTCAACTTGAATCGACTTATGAGATATGGACTACTCTTCATACAAGATTTCAATCTTCGAATAGATCGAAGGTTATCCAGCTTAAGCATGCACTACACAATATCTCCATGCAAAACCTGTCCATGACGCAATATCTCACTGAGGTCAAGAAAATCGTGGATCAAATCTCATCAGCCGGCTCGTCTGTTGATTCCGAAGACGTCATGATTTACATCTTAAACGGGCTACCGCAGGCGTATCAATCGTTCACCACCACTATACGCACAATGCAAAATGCTTTATCTCTCGATACTCTCTATGCTCTTCTGATCAGTGAAGAGATTCATCTCAAAGCAGCTGCGTCAAAATTTTCCACAATTCCGGACTCAAACGCCGCTCTTTATGCGGGTCGAGGACGAGGCAGACGCCCTTGCACTCGTCCTCCCACAGATTCAGCTCCGCCGAACAAACAGTCAGCGAACACGCTCGTTACATGTCAAATTTGCAAGAAGCGCGGTCACATGGCAGATTCTTGCTGGCATCGCTTGAACATCAATTACACTCCAATGTCGACAACGAACAAGAACAACAATGCTCTGCTCGTTAACAATACAAGCACCCCGTCGGACGATTGGTACATCGATTCCGGAGCTTCCTCTCACATGACGAACAAAATCTCAAGATTAGATGAATACAACGAATATTCCGGAAACGAATCTGTAACTATTGGGGACGGAAGGTCCATCCCGATTGCCCATTCGGGATCGAGAATCCTTCCCACCCCCAACAGTAAGTTGCTCCTCACTCGTTTACTTCATGTTCCTTCATTATCTTATAACTTACTATCCATTTCAAAATTGGTTCAAGATAATCCGATTAACATTATTTTTGACAATAATGGGTTCGTCTTTAAGGATCGGGTGACCAAGCAAATCCTCCTTCGAGGACCGTGTAAAGACGGACTATACAAGCTAGCAGCTCGGCCCGAGTCTGATCACTCCACAGCTCTGTCTGCTACCTCGGCATCCAAAGAATTGTGGCACCGACGGCTTGGCCATCCTCATCATCGCATTCTTCAGCGAATTTCTCATGCAAATCCTAGTTTACATATTACTACTTTACCGTTAATCTGTAATTCGTGTCTTTCTTGTAAGAGACATAAACTTACTTTTGATCGGTCTACTAGCCGAACCCGAGCACCATTAGAACTGGTGCATTCAGACATCTGGGGACCATCCCCGGTTCCGTCTAACCAAGGGTTTCGATACTATGTACTTTTTGTAGATGATTTCTCTCGTTACATTTGGCTTTTTCCGCTTACTTTTAAGTCCGATGTTACAAGCATTTTCATTAATTTCACTAAGCAAATGGAGCGACAAACGAACCGTAAAATCAAGGTTTTACGCACAGACGGAGGTGGCGAATTTATAAATCATTCCTTCAAACAATTCACTGAACAGGCGGGTATAATCCATCAGTCTTCTTGTCCCTACACCCCCGAGCAAAACGGTGTTGCGGAGCGCAAACATCGTCAACCTGTACCGATCGTCCCGGACGATCCGACTTCGTCCGGACGAACCTGGAGCAGAAACTGATATTACAGCTGGTTTACCTCTGACCTTCTGGATGGACGCCGCTAATACGGCAGTCTATCTTATAAACCGTATGCCATCAACTACAACGAATAATGACTCGCCTCTCCAATGCATGTTCGGTCTCGCTCCCTCTTATACTCATCTTCGAACATTTGGATGCGAGTGTTATCCACTCAATCCGCCTACTCAACGCAACAAATTATCGCCAACATCTTCACCCTGCGCTTTTCTTGGGTATTCCGATACTATGAAAGGCTATAAATGCCTCAATCAGGTAACAAATAAAACAATAGTATCAAGACACGTCAAATTTAACGAGCTCTCTTTTCCGTTTCTAAACAGGCACACGCTCGATTCAAATCCAGCTTCTCTGGATCTCCCGCCATCACTACTGGTTCCTTATCCTACGGTTCATCAGGGACAAGCAGTGTCTCACTCCAAACCTCTCTTACAGGAGCCTGCCGAATTATCAAACCCGACGTCCATTAATCCCGAGCAAATCACTCTCCAACAAGATGTCGCACGGCCATGCTCTAAAACTATTCAAGTCAATCCCATGACAACTCGGGCCAAAACAGGATCATTAAAACCTGTGACTAGACTTAACTTACTTCACCAAGAACACAAGCAAACCGACCCGACGTCTTATACCGAAGCAAGCAAGAATTTCGAATGGCGAAAGGCCATGGCTGAAGAATTCTTTGCTCTTCAAAGACAAGGAACATGGACGTTGGTCCCTCCTCCTATCAACAAACCAGTTCTCGGCTCAAAATGGACATACCGAACTAAGCATTTATCAGATGGTTCTGTAGCCCGATTCAAAGCTAGACTGGTTGCTCTTGGAAATCAACAAGAACATGGGATTGACTATTTCAATACGTTCAGTCCCGTAGCAAAGCTACCAACGATCCAAATTCTTTTCACTATAGCTCTCTTCCACAAATGGCTGGTACATCAGCTCGACGTAGCAAACGCCTTCCTTCACGGCGATATCACCGAAACTGTCTTTATGCGGCAGCCCAAAGGATTTGAAGATTCGACAAATCCTGACTATGTTTGCCGGCTGAACAAAGCTATTTACGGCCTTCGTCAAGCTCCGCGACAGTGTGTTGACCTCATTTTTGTATGAGGTCATTTGGACTACTCTTGACTTTCAAAACTATATATATTTAAATACAGATATATTTTTTTTAATCAAAACACAATGGTATACAACCTTCACAACTTTTCTCATTCAACTCGGCTTCACACATAGTCAAGCGGATCCTTCTCTCCTAGTATTCCGGCAAAACAACATTGAAATGTATCTGCTCGTCTATGTTGACGACATTCTTCTAACCGGAAATAATTCTCAAGCCATTACAAAACTCACGGCTCAACTCAATTCTCGATTCACTATGAAAAATCTGGGTACCGCTCACCAATTTCTCGGCATCAAAATCAACACTCTTCCAGATAAGTACATTCTGTCACAATCTGTTTACGCCAATTCT